TCCGCCTTTGTGCGGTGTTCGGCCCGGGCACACAAGTCCGCTGGCACTCAAGCGCCGAGGGGCACCGCGCCCGCCGTCCGCTGGAGCAGAGTCAATCGGCAAGGCAACGGCACACTGGATGCGGAGAGAAAGGGAGTGTGAGCTGAGCGGGAGCCGGGAAGGAAGCCACCAGGCCAGAGCGGCCGAACGCGCGCTCCGAGGGAGCTCTGAGCCGAGCCCAGGATTGTCAGCTTCCTTCAAGCCCTCAGGCTCTCGCCCTCAACTTGAGCGCAGAGCTCGGAACTTGAAAACTCTCTACTCCCCACGCTTCCCCCAACCTTCGCCCTCGCCCTGCGAAAGCTGGGGTCTTCCTTGTCCTCCAGCCCCCAGCGCTCGGTGGGTATTTTTCCTTGTCTTCCTCTGACAATGCTGCGCTCGCTCGGTGTTGCCATTCCAACAAGTTTCGAGGTGGAAAAGTGGATTGGATTGCTTTTTAAAAAAACATCTAAATTCCCTGATTTTTTTTCTTTATGAGGCTTTAAAAAAATCAGTATGAAAGCACTGGCTTTCCCCTTCGTCTGATCACATCCTCTCCCAGCCAATTAGTCTGAGTAATTTGAGAGCTTTTCGATTGATTCTAAAACCCCAGGAGGAAAAGTGTCTTTTCAAAGTTCATGAAGTTGTTGCCTCTTTCCGTGTGCAGATTTACTCCGTCTCTGTGTCCCATGATAGGCCCGAATTTTAGCAAGTGTAATTGGGGAAAATGGAGTTGAATTTCAAGTGGAAATGCTTTCTCCTCTTCTCTCTCTCTCTCTCTCTCTCTCTCTCTCTCTCTCTCTCTCTCTCTCGTCTTTTTTTTGAGTGCTAAAACCTGGCCTTTCAGTCTCGAGTGATTTCTAGAAAGTTTAAAAACAACGTGAATGTGGAATCTTTTTCTCTCATACTCTGCACAGCTTCTTAAGCCATTTTGGATGTTTAACTCGAACTTGGGAAGGTCGAGGAGGGGCGGGAGCAAAAAATGAAATAAAAAGCAAAGAACTTAAAAGCTTGGTGAGTTTACCAAGGAGAAATAATAGTTGTTGCCATTGACATTACATTTTTTATAGCCAGTGACCTTTGCAAACGTCTGAAGGCGATTTGATTAGTTATCTTATTTGGCCCTAGAGAGTAAAACTTTGTCATTTTAATTGCTAATTACTTTTTGGCTGGGGGCCGGGAGGGACAAAAGTGAGCTCTCCCCTTCACCCCAGCTAAGGAATTTGGGGTTGGATTTTAGAATTAAGTAATTTAAAACATCAGTATTTGAAAGCGGAGGCTTGTGTCAGGGAGGCAGTGGCCCAGTGGCCTAGTGGACCAAGGCCCTGGCGACTTCCAAATCTCTGGAAACTCCTTGATTCCTGGTGCAGGTCTCTGACCTGTCGAGGGCTTTAGGGAGCCCAAGGCTGAGATTGGAGGGAGGGGGCTGTGTCTGTGGCTTGGGGTTCTCATTTCTCCGGGCGGCGTGTTTGCTTCCGGGTGTCCGTGTGCCCTGCCTCTCGGATTGCTTTTGCACTTTAGCGATTACTTAAGCAATTAGATAGATTCTAAGCTGAGAGGGGGTGGGAATGGAGTAGAACCGGAATTTGAAATGCTTTCCCAGATGCTTCGAAAATTAATTGGTTAGGCCTCTCTGTAATCAGCTACTGAATTCTTTAAAAATAGCATCAAGAATGTACCTGCTGGGATGGAGGCATTCACTGGTGGTTGAGTACAGAGTGGTACGGAGAGGAGTTAGGAAGTTTTCCCCCTTCAGGAGTATTGCGCTACTCCTCTCCTGCCTGCTACCTTTGCCTTTTCAGAGTCCCACTTTGAGGGTGTGGGGGGGGGCGGGGGGAGGGGAGAAGACACACATTCTGATCCAAGTTGGGGTTTCTGCCTGGTGGGGGCATGACCGTGGTCAAGGGGACTGAGAGGCGGGAGGCCTTGAGAGCCAGTGCAGCTAGGCATAACTAGGTAGCCCTCTGCCATCTCCAGTATTTACCAGGCCAAATTTGGAAGCTGGGAAGAAGTGTTCCACTTAAGTTTATTTTTTATGGATTTAAGCTGCCTCCCAGCTAGGTAATAAATTAGACCATGAATAGCTTTGGAGGGGGAAAATGTGCTTCTTGGAATTCCTTGCTTGAAGGCAAGCAAAATTAATAATCACCATAGGCAAAAGAGGAAAAAGAAAGAGTATTTTAGGTGTTTTTTTTTAAACAGGGAGAAATGATGCTGTGACTATTTAATTATTTTACTTCTTTTTCTGCCCAAACCTTTTGAATGGACTCTTTATTGTAATTCTCTCTTCCCAATTGAGCACCCTACGGTGCCGTTGTATCTTTTTACGGCCCCTAACAACTCACACCAGTAACACAATTACCTCCAGATATTTATAACAAGAAATTACTTTTCTATTTTCTCTCCCCTCCCCCAAAACCTTCTTAGGGGAAGGTATGGAGGGGTGGTGGAGGAAGAATCTTGGGGAGACAGCACTAGATCAGGATTGACAATGCAAGAGGTGTCCCTCTGTTCCCTTTGTGAGTTGGCGGGTTGTTGGTACATGTGGTTGGAAGCTGTGTTGCTGGTCAGGGAGAGTCCGTTTTGCTCTTTGAGTTTGGGGAGAGCTGGAGAATAGGAGCCATTGTTCACTGTCTGTAGGCTTTGTCCACCACGCTCACCCCCTCCTGTTCCTACTTTTTAAAGCCGTGAGGCGAGGTAGACAGCGTGTGTCACAGTACAGTAAAAGGGGGGACGATCTAAACACCGAAAGAAAAGTTAACCACAATAAGTGAGGTTTGGGGGGAAAAAGTTGGGCTCACCGCATTCAAAGTCCAAGAAAGGCTGGGAGATGGGTGGAGTAAGGGCCTGACTGGGAAGCTTTGAAGGGGAGAGTAAAGGATAAAGTGGTAACCAGAGAGTTGGGTTCTGGGGGCCTTAGGAGGCTGGGGTGGTAAAATTCCTCAAGGAGAGTATGGCTCTGCAGCCCTCCTGACCAGCCCCAGCCTGCACTCTCAGGCACTCTGAAGTTCTGAGGTCCTCTTCACCTCACCTCTAAACTTCGCGTACACCCCCCTACCCCCTATCCCAAAGTTTCTCTTGTTCTTTCCCTTTCCTTTCCCTGGCTCTTGATATTTTTGCAAAATGGGGCCTGACTTGTCAGATTCTCCAGTTCTCCCAAGCCAGGCCAGAGCAGTGACTTCTAAAAGATGGAGACGTCTGCGGGAGAGGCCGCTGAAAACGTGGGTGCAGCGTTGAGATTTAGGGTTTTATGGCAGTTGGAGCCCTACATGAGTATTTTTGTTTTTTTGTTTTGTTTTCTGAGAGTATGGCTCCGAGAGCCATGGGCCTTTGCTTTTGAGCCACAATTTGACATACCTTTCTCTCCTTCTGTTTTATCTTAGGGGGAAGACCTTAACTAGGGGTGCGCAGATGTGTGAGACCTTTTATTGTAAGAGTGGACAGACATCCCAGATTTCAGGCAAGTTCTGCTGTGGCTTGAAAGCTGCTTTGGGATCCCAAACCCTAAAGATTCAGAATGCTTCTTCAGTGTTGTTCAGATGGAAGAAAAAATTCAAAATAGGGTCATCCTTTCTTCTGATTAAAGGGTTTAGTACTTAGAGATTTGGACGATACAGATTGGGAATACTGGATTTTTTTCATGCCTGGAAGGTAGAGCTGGATGGCCTCAGATAGCTCTAAGCAATTGGGTGGATTATTCCCTAAAGAACGTGGGCAGTCTCCTGTCCTGGCTCCAGGTCATCCTCTATCCAGAGGTAGGCCTACCCGGCCCAGGATTAATGCCTGTGTTCTTGCTAACAGAATCCCATATTCGAGCCCCGTGGGATCCCGCGCCCCACAGCCAGCGCCAGCATGCAGAACAGTAAGTGCCTCTAGTCTTTCTCATGTGGGGCTGGGGATTCGAAGACCAGTGGGTCAGGGGAGGGTGTCAGCTCTGACCAGGCCACCATGGTAGCAAGGAAAAACCCCAGGAACCTCAGGCAACTGTGCCCCCCTCTGCGCCTGGCAACCTGAGAGGGGAGGGCGTTTGCTCTGCTGTCCTAGCTCCTGGAAAAACTGGAGCTGGGCGCTTCAGAACAGCCCGCTCGAATTTGTGAAGTTGAGGTAGAGAAACCCCATCCCCCCAAATCCTGTAACTCACACCTCCTTCCCCTCCCCTGCCCGGGCTCTGACCCCAGAGAGAGGGGCTGGGCTGAGCAGAGAGGGGCGGAGGCTTCTCCTGGTTGCTTGAGGAGAAGGAGGCCCCTTTCGGCTTAGCCAAGACAGAGGTCTCCTCCATCAGGGCGGGGTGTGGGGGCTCCCCTCCCCCAGTCGCTCCCAGGGCAGCTCCTTCCCTCTCCACCCCGCTGGGGGGCCTAGAGGGCTAGACACCCAGTCCTGCGGGTGAGGTGGAGGGGGTAAACTCCACCAGTGGGGCTGTGACCGGGCTCTGGGGTCTGGGAAAAGAGTCGGGCTCCAGCCCAGGAGTTGGAGAAGCCCTGCTGCAGCTGTGTGGGTGCTGGTTGTTTGGAGCCCATAGTGCCCCTGATTCCTGGCTCTTGAGTTTCCCATGCTCCCTCTGCCCAGGCCCCCAGATCCCAGTCCACCTTCCTGCTCAGTCCAAGCGTGTTGGTACGTGGCAGGGCTGGTCTGGAGTCCCGACCTGGGAGCCTGGAGGCCCAGTGAAGTCTAGGTCCGGGTTGAGGTGCGGAGTTTGGACGCGGTTCTTTAGGGCCCGGCTGTAGGAGTGCAGACAGGCCCACGTCTTCTAGCAACCTTCCCTGGCCCAACTGCAGACCAGACGTAGGAGGGGCCCTAGAGCCAGATGCCCCTGTCCTGGGAGCGCTAGCTGCCTCTCGGTGTCTCCTCCGCGGCCAGTGGGCGGAAGCTCGGGAGAGGACGCAAAGGTGGCGAGCTTTAAAGGGGGTTCCGTTGTGCAGAACCTGGCAGGCCCCGGGGCTGGCCCAGGAGGCACCCTCCTTGGCCAGGCGAAGGCTTCTGCCCACCCCTCCGGGCAGCTGGGTTCTCCTCCCGCAG